AAGTAAAAATGAATCCTTTATAAGCAGCAGTATGCACCACAGAGCACAAGTGTTCTGCAGTGGACATATCTGGTTCGGGGCCGGCATCACCAAAACCAGATAAAACGGAAAAGTCCTTTTCAGTGAGCATTACTTTGCCTTTCTGGCACTTTCAGAAAACAACGGGATAACTCCTAGCCTCCAGAATAAACCCCTACTGTCATAAATTATTAATCAAGGGCCAGAGAAAATGAAATGAAATGGAGGCAGCTTTCAAATAGAAAAATCAGTCAGTAGACTAGTGAAGCAATGTTGAAGCTCTTCAGATGAGACAACAGAAGATGCAGAATACTTTCCCTTAAGAGCCATATATTCTTTTCTTCCAATAATCGCCAATGGTAAGTTCTTTTCAATAAAATAATAATAAAATGACAATAAATAATCAAATGATAATAATCAAATGATAATAAAAGAATAAAAAATAATAATCAAATAATAAGGAGTTGAACTTGTTCATTAAGCTATATCTTAAAATGCCTGAGTTTCTGGGCAGCGAACAGACGTCGAACCTTTGATGACTCTTGGATGCTTTTTGACTGGTTGTTTATCAGTTCTTCAGGGTGCCAGTGGTTGCATTGCTATATGCACCTAATGAGTGCCTCTTTTTAGGCATTCTTGCCAAAATGGCCACCTATTATCAGGCTAATTTAAGTTCTTCTCTAGTCCTACAACAGGTTTTCAATAAAACACAATCCAGGAGAACTTCATGTATTGAAAAGCATAGACAGCCAGCAACTTCAGAGCAAACAATTTCTTAGTGTGATTATCGGGCAGTGCAGCCGTTCTCTTCAACCAGTCATGGAAGATCTTATAACTGCCTCCAGTTATAGATAATGGGCTGTTACTACAGCTTCGTCATCTGAAGATGGATGAAGAATTTTGAGTTATTAGCTGTTTTAGGCCTTGAATTGCTTAAGTGGACAGCTCACATTCGAGACTTGACTCTCATGAAAGATGTTTCCCTTCTCAGCTCATGAGGAGACACAGTTCTGACCCATGAATAATCTAGAAATCAGGTCCACTAATAATGATGCCCAAGGAGCCCCAACATTTTACAAGTGTTGGGAACTGCTGCCAAATGACATCCATGACAAGGATACATCTATGAACCCTTAACACAGTTATCAATTCTCAGTTTAAGAAGCTTTTCCAAGAAAAAGAAGAGCAAAAACAGGCTGTCATTTTTCAGAAGACAACGGTACATATTGTCTTGTGAATTTATACTGTGAAAAAAGTTCTGGTCATTTCCTTAATGCAAATAGCATCACCATCACAAAAACAAGCAGAGTTCTCCAAATATAAGTTTGTTCTAGCACCTTTGAGTAAAGCAAGAGTATCAGTATAGTAATATAAAGTAATTTCCAGAAGTAAACTAATTTGTGAGCACCATTAAAACTAGCATCATTACAACAGGACAAGCTAATTGTGGATGGGCAATATCAGGAAATTAAGCAGAAAAGTAATGTACAGTCAGTACCACTAGAATAAACATTCCCATCAAATGAATTGATGGAAGTCTTATGATAATGCCAAAAACAAGTAGGAAATAGCCAGTTCTGCTGAAGTTGATTGATATAAGTGGCAGATTACCCCCCAGAAGGGATCCGTGGAATATGTAATTCTGGAGAAATGGTATCAGCACTGGTGACAGGTGAACAATTTCCATCTTTCAGTGTATGCTGCTCACACGATCTAAATTCTGTCCATCTTTGTAAATAGGTAATTACTACCATATTATTCAGCCTCCCTGAAAGCATGTATGAATATTACAGGTCTCGGTCTTACAGCCAGACTTGAACAGTCACCGCCTAGACAGAGGGACCATTGTGTAACACCTGGTAAAGCAGCTGGGAGAAATTGAAATGAAAGACACTCCTCCTCCACACTCCAAATGCCTACCATAAATGTAATCAGATCATTCACAGGTAGCTGTTGCTAATTAGTTCACCCCAGATCTACCCTGCAGGCAGAGCACTTGTTATCCCATCACAGACATGCTCACATCACACTGGTTAGAGAGTCAATCCTCTGTAGCACAACAAGCATCTTGTGCTTCTGTCAGTCTCTCAATGAATCCCACGATGGGCAACATAATCCCAGTTGCAGAATAAGACACAATAAAAATGGAAGAAACAAGCAAATCAACTGACTTCACAAACTGTTAAGGACAGGAGAAGATAGGGACTTAGAGAAATGAAGTGCTCCGACACAAGCTGCAGCTGGTGAGAAGGACATGACTTACACTTGGGAGTTATTTCTTTCTATGTACCATCAATGGATACAGATCTCCAACTTTGCCTCCCTAGTCAGCGCTGACTAGGAAGTTCTTCAGTCCTAGTGGATTGGCACATACCCAAACACAGTGGAGTAAGAGGAAGAACTGATCTTCCACAAGCAGACAGCTTGCCAGAAAACTCATGGATAGTCCCAGATCATCAGAGGCCTCTCAAATTTCAGGAGACTCCCAGAGGAAGTACTCTCTTTGCACTGTTACTGACATAGTTCATTTGAGCTACCTGGGTGCGTCTCGGTCATTTCTCCAACTGGGTTATTCTTTTCAAGGTGGATCATTAAAACGGAATAGGAATTGCTTTGAAATTCAAGGCAGTTTAGTCAACTGTCTGCTAGGATTTGTTTCCGTATCCTTCTCCCTAACCCCATTCCTTGCCCTGTCCCCTTCATCCACTTTTATTTTACAGGGAAATTGGGCAAAAATCGTTGATAAGAAAAACCTGGAGTCAGAAGGGAGAGGGGTTTGCTCTTAGTTCTGGAGATGCTAGAAAGAATGAAACCACCCTTCATTAACTACTGAATTAATATAACAAATAGTTTGTGTAGTATTTCCAGGGCAAGTTTTATTATCAGATTATTCCTCCTCCTTGTGAGGAAAGTTGCCAACAGGCCATCTTATCCCACAGGAATGCTGAGCTGGTTACTGGCCTTAGTCTTATACTTACCAGAATCTCTCGTGACTGCTCACAAAACGAGCATCTCTAAATAAAAGTTAATTTAAAAAATAAACTAAATATGTAAAAGACCTTGATAAATTGATTAGAGTTGCACTTTAAAACACATTTCAAATATAAAATAAGCCCCTCCCCCCAAAAAAGTTAATTCAAAATAATTTCTCATGACCCCTGTTTATTTTTCACGTTTATTTTTCACTTTTAGGAGGTCACTCAGTACTTCATTTTATATATATGTGTGTGTATATATAACATATGAGAATAAACAGTGTATGCTGATTTCAGCTACCTTTTCTCAAAGCACTGTTGTGCCTTCCAGTTTTGCTTAGACTGCTAAAGCACTGCTGCAGAACTGGCTTCCTTTCTGCCCTCTCAAGAGCAAAGCATGTCCAAGACATGCATAATACTTCAAAACAAGCATATACATGACATGCCTTTATGCTGCGATGCTCCCATACACTGTAATTTAAACCTTTTCCCCTTATATACTCCAGTCTCTTCTTTTCCTGTAAAGCAATCCATTCTTTTCAATGGCAGAGCAAGACATATTGCATATCGCTATGTTGCTTCCTTGATAAGCATATAACATACCATGGTTCCTAAATAAAAAACAGCTGTCTCTAAAGTGATTACAATTATGTCTTTTTTGTGTTCAAAATAAACGTTGAAATCCTAAAAACATCATTTCTTGAAGCACTAAAATCATGTCTGCACTTCCTTTTCCTATTTTTACCGAAGACTAAGTCTCAAGCAGGTATAGCACTAACCTGACTTCTGATAGCTAGCTTTTCTATCATCTCCCAAAGCCTTGCAGCACCAAATAAAAAAATCCTCTCACTTGCCTGAAGAGTGCAGAATCATACTGCAAGCTACATCAAACACCACATACGGAGGATAACTCAGTCAGGAACTAGAGACAGGTGTCACATTCATATCAAAGTAGGACCTAAGAACAATGAGCTGTCTCCATTTCAAAATAACATAACTATCTGAAGCCAATATATGCTGTATGCATCATTCCCTCCAAAAAATTAATCAGTCATTGTGGACAGTGTACACTGTCCACATTTTCACAGTAGAAAATCATACTAAAATATCTCTAATGTAGTTTATCCCTATTACTAATCATAATTAAAAATACAGGTGACTCAGGTTACTCAGTAGTAGTTTTATAACACAGCCCTGTCACATAAAATAAATTTCGTAAAATACAGCCATCAGAACACAGCATTGGAATTACTCCGAATTAAAAAAAAAAAAAAATACAGTGACAATGTCACTATATAACAAGACTAAACTAATACTAAGAGAAACTTCCTTTCTGCCTTTTGTACTCGTAGTTCAAAAGACTAACATTAGAGGATAACACTAGACTATTAAATTACAAATGGCAAAGCATTTTAAAAGAAGATTCCAATGTCAATTAATCTTCCAGTAAAAGCTAGATTTAACTGAGCATGCAATGCCTAGATATTTAGATATTTTCAGTTACCATTAAAGAATGAAACTGTCACAGCCATAAAATTATTGTAAAATCCATAAACTCCTCAGCAAAATTTGAGTATTTGAGAGCAACTGAAAAGGGGGAACGGCAATCTTCAAACTACCAAACCCATACGTAATTATGTACACAGATGCTTCTGTTAACATGGAGAGTTCAGCATGAGAATGACAAAGGTGATATTTCAGCCCTGTTTTTGGAGACAGAAAGCCTCCTATATTCTAAACCAGAGCAAACACTAGGGTGCCCATAAGCAACGGGAGCTGCTTTCTCTCCATTACCTGTGATTTTGCACATTCTCAACTGAAGAAATATTTTTCCTTATTCTATATTATCCATTGAGGGCATGCAATTTCCATCAAAAGTAGGCACTTAATTATTTCTAACAAAAAAACAAAAACTCCACCATTTTAAATTATCTACGTTTTAAAACAGGATGTATCTAATATTAATCTCAGAGCATGTTATACTTTACAAAGAAACTAATTTCCTACCTTATCGGGTCCAAATCAAGAAGTTCCTTCAGCTTTCAGCTATCTAAAGTAATGTCACAGGAGGGAACCAAACGTCTTTTGCTGCACAAAGATAGTTGAGAAAAGCTAAACCAGCCTTTTGAGCTGACAACTTGCTCAATAACACTGTTCACTTCGGGCTGGTGGCAACAGCTCTGTGCAAACACCACTTGATTACTGCTGTGAACTGCAGCTACTCAGAATGAAAGTAAGATGAAGTCTTGGTACGTGAATATGTTTCTACACATATTCAGAGGAAATGACTCAACTATGTCACCATCTTTAAACTCTGAAAACTGCCTCCCTGTCCTTCCCCCTCCCACAGGGCAGAAGACAGCATATACTGTAAGGTTCAGTAACTTATTCATTAAACAGTGGCATGAACCAAATATGAAAGATTCACCTAGAGAACATTTAATTTCAGTCCTACACAGATTTTTCAAAGATTACCTGAAGTAGGGAAATACTCAACTTAAACATTTGTTTTAATAAATTAATGTATGTGTATTTTATGCAAATAAAAGAAAATGCATAGTTATCTCTTCATATTATCTCTGAAAATATTTTGAGATTAAAAAATAATATTCAGATAGCATCTAATATTAATCTCTGTAGGCAAACATCAGAAAAATTTCTTTTTGGTTATTATACTCACAGAAATACCAGAAGCTGAAAAAGAAGGAAATGAGATGGGAATTATGAAGAAGGTAAAGATAAAAACAACATAGATTCTATTTAAATGAGTTTCAATATACATTGCTTTAACTGAATAGGTACAAGCATTCCACAGCTGGACAGGTATCCTTACTTGTATGGCATTAAAGCCTATCAAGTGTTACATACCTTTACTATGACATTTAACTGATTTCTTTAATTTTTACTCAGAGGAGAAAATCTTGTTTAATTGAACTTAAACCATTCCTTAAAATCCCTGCATTTCTTTTACATTTTGTGGTCAGCTCTATTCCTTCAGCAGCAATCTATATCTCAGGTCAAACTACTTCTAATCCAAAGGATCTCCGTTTTCTCAGCTTTGGTTTGCCTGCATCAAGCATAAACCTCCCCAGCAGATGAGAAATTAAAATAGTTTTGTAATGTGGATTCTCTCTTCCTACACCTCCCCACTCCTGCAGAGGCCACTTGATGACTGGGACACCCTCTTGGATCAGCAGTTTACAGTGGGATATGTCAGTTTAGATTGAAGTGCAGTGGTGTGATTTTGAAACAGTGTGGATAGCCAGAAAGCACTCAGACTGTGGCCAAACATCCAAATCATACTTCTCAGGAAGTCCTTGGTGGGAAAGAAACACTGAAATAATTGTTTTATGTGCACACACATGTGCACCATTCATGGGTCTAATGAAAATCCATTAAAAATTCCAGGCTGCTCCTCAACAGTACCTTTCTATGAAAGGAAATAGTTTGGCGCAGCTAATTATTTCATATCAACCACATAGTCTAGTACACAAGTTGACTACTAGGTCAGAACATTCCACCTCTTTCTTTCTCAATTTTAGCTTAGTTTATCACTTCAAAATGGTGAAATTAAATATCATTTTGGCATTCACTTCAGGTACAACAAAAATAACCAAAAAAACCAAAAAAAAAGTCCTAAAGAAAAAGAGCAAACATCATATTCACTTACAGAACAAGACAGTCACTGCAAGTTCCAACAGACTTGGATCAGATATGATACACTAAAATAATATACATAGGAAGTGAATGTGGAAGAAACCTCAAAACGTTATCACTCCTATGGCATGGGGGAAGATCAGCTATATAAGACATTCCTGAAATCTTTGTGCCAAGAGCTGAAGACAGCTTACATTTTGGCAGACTTCTTTTGACTACTAGAAGCAGCTCAATGAATAAAATATCTCCTTTCGCTACTACAAGATACATTTCTCCGTAACAGCAAAGTTTTGTTATAAAAAAAATGAGAGGCAGCGATGGTTTTGTGGTCAAAACGAGGATCTGTGTAGCTTCTACGACTTCAGCTTCATACACGTGCCCTTGCACATATCACCTAATCCCTCCATGTCTCATTTACCACCACTGAAAGCACAGTAATAATTCTCCCTTATGGTACAGACGAGCAGCACAGCACTTGGACACCGCTGTGAGAGGGCCCACAAAAGGAACAGTAACCTCTGTTACCTCCCTTTCTCAATTAACCAGACTGCAGCTCCAGAGAACAATGAATTCATCTGAGTAGCACATATGTTGCTGTTCTCACTTTCTAAAGAGTATCTTTTATTTTCCAAAGCGGAAAAACAAGCAACAGAGGACAAAGTACTACAGAAAGCAAGAAGAGATTTTAAGACACACTTTTTTTTTTTTCTTTTTTTTCTTTTTTTTTTTAAAGTAATGACATCTAACCCTGCTGTTTGCCTTCAAAACTATGACAGATAGTGCTCCTAACTAATAAAAACTAAGACACTTTCTTCAATACAGCCAAAATCCTTCTGGGCAGAGATATGTGTGGAAGCGGCTTGAAAGACGGTAAAACAGACATTACCTTTTATGATGATAAAAGCACTTTGCTGATCAAGACCCCAACAACACAGTAGAACAGGGATGCCATTGATGGGGACCTCGATAAGCCCTTTACTCTTGTGGATAAAACAGCGAGGTGGAGATCACTAGCTTTGCCCTCAGGTCCACCCTTGCACCAGTAATCCAGGCCCACGTACCCCCTTCTTGGCCGACACCTCCCAACTCCCTCCCCTCCGTGCCAGACCTCATGGGGCAGGTGCTGACGGAGGCTGCCCCACATCAAAATCCTCCCTGCCCGGCCGAGAGGTCCGTACACAAGCCGTCCAAGCCTCCTGTGGTCTCCTTGGCTCCCCTCGTGCATCTCCTGGTTGCTCAGGCCGAGAGCTTCCCTCAAAGTCACTGATCACCCTCTCTTCCATGCCAGTAAAGGTGGAGGGGAAGAAAATGACTATAGACTGGACAATACTGTTTGAGTGCTCAAATAATATTTGGGAGAGAAGATATTATACTGAAAACCTTGCAGTACTCTACACAACGGTGGGAGAAGGGAAGGCTAGTTTTTGGTCTCGGTCTTCTCCTTTTTCAAAGGCGCCTCTCTCCTCAGTTTCTAAAAGCAGATGGCAATGTATTGTTACGCTGATTAACATTCTGCAAATTTGATTTCAAAACCATACCACAGAGGATGAGAAGTCAGTTATTGTATTACTTCTACAAGGCAAAGCAGGTCTCGTAGCTCTCTGCTACGAGAAATTAAGCATCAGATAATGAACTTACGATATTAAGTAAAATGTTTTTAAAACATACAGTTTCTGCTGAAGCTTGTACGTCAATAAACACAGATCACTTTCTAAAGACTATCTGGAAATTTCAGTGAGATGACCGCTTTTCAGACAAGTGACTGAAATTAGAAGCATTTTTACCCACAGTCAGACATTATTAAAATCTGATTAACTACACTCATCTATTCATCTGAATAAAGTACAATAGTTAAAAGCGTACATTGAACTGAAACAGTAGAACAACTTATTTCAGTCAGTGCTTAGAAGACAGTGATGCTACTTGCCTGCTGAAAACTCAACAGCTTCACAAGCAGCACCAGGGTTTCAGAGTTTGCTGCATAGCTTATAAAGAAAATATGAGTTTTATTACCTTTCCTCCCTGGTTAGCATTCTAAATTAACTCAGAATTAATGAGGCAGCTCATGTTAGTATTGGTATGCTAAGGGAAAAATCATTTCCACTGCATGAAGAGACTGTAATTGTAACACTATAACAATGTCCAATTGGAAGAATACATGCATATGGCATTCAATATTAAACTCAAAATTAGTATACGTCTTCCGACTCAAAAAACTTTATTTAAAATGAGCTAGCATTTTTTCTCTCAATTTCACAGAATAAAAATACTTTTACTATTGATGAAAATCTAATCTAATATCTTATAAGTAAATTTAGCACTATACGAATGCGACAGAGTTGCCTCTTCACAGCAAAACAATTTTTCAGACTACCCAGCTTATGATACAGAGAACCCAGTTAAGAGTAGTACCTCTTTGTTCATTCCACAGGGGCTTTAACTTAATAACTGAGGAACAGAACAAGTAACCATAACCGTTAACGATAACAACAAACTAAAAATAACGGCAACAAAACTATGACATAACCTCGGCAAATGATTTATCTCAGCTCAAACTACTAATGCAAATTTTCCTGTACCTTGACTAATGCCTCTGAGCATTTTCTGCTGCCTAGAGCACTGGCAGCATACTTCATCTACATGGCTTCTTATTACTTACATCTGCCGAAGCATTTCTGCCGATGAAATCAAATACACTTGTCTCAGATATTGAGTTTCCTACTGAAACATGGGGGGACGGGGCAGGGGGGAATCCAAAATCCCTACTTCTGAAAGGACTGGGATAATTACTGCAAATAGACATTGACACTGTCCCACCGTCCCACAGCATGTTTGGGGCCCAACTTGGTTTAACTTCTGTGAGCAGCCAGCTCACTTACCTATAAGGAGTCAGCCTATGAAACTGTGAACTTGACAGTACATCTTTAAACATGAGAAAGATGTAAATGTTTGGTATATTTTAGCCAGTATACTGAATAGCAACACGTTTATACAGGAAAGTGTGACCCCAAAACCCACCAGCAGGGTCACTTATTTATTTTACTTTTTACATGACTAATGCAAAGTTCACATCAGTCATCTGATTCTCTGCAATACACACTTAAAAAAAAAACCTGAAAATCCCACACTGATATAGCAGTTCTGCTTACCTACTACTGCAACAGAGAAAAAGCTTCTTACATTATTCAGTGTGGGAGCTGGCACCCACTTGCTCTTTGCTAATTTGAAAAAGTATATTTACATGCCAGATACAGGGAACCTGAAACAATGAACAGATGCCATAATTTCTCTGCCAAATTTGAGGTTTACGCGCGCATGTGTGTACGTGTAGGTGAGCGTTCACTCGGGATTCAGCTTTACAAAGATAGGGATGCCAGGATGAAAAAAAATTACTAGCATCCTTCTAGAGAAATCCCAAGTACTGAGAAACTTACTTTTTCAGCCCAGAGCGAGCGGCATACCCCCAGAGGCAGGCAAAACCTTGGCCGACTCCTGGACATCGCACCTCCCTGGGGCTCCGAGGTACCCCACCTAATTCGTCAAGGAGTACAGGCA